CATAGACCTCCATTATTTGAATGTCAGCAGACAGCAAGAAGCCTCCCAGATCTCCAGATGCATTTGAGATATCAAAAAAGTACTCCAGAGTGTTGTTCAGCATGGGGGTGAGTAGAAAATGAAGGCTAATCATGTTTTGGGTGTACTATTCCTTTAACGGCAAGTATCAGTTGTTCATCTGTATGAAGATAAACAATTCTTCAGTTTTTGTCATCATAACATTGTTTGCTTATGTTAAGCTCCATTGTGTAGGTAATTGCGAACATGTGGGGTAATTTACTATATGGAAAACAAAGCTGGGAAAGACTTTAAATACTGACATAGTCTGATTATATATGTGATCAAAACATGTATTATTTTCACCCTCCTCTTGTTTATGCACTATATTTACTCCCCTGCTTTTGTAACTGTAAAAGGGGTTGGACACAACTTCGCTCACAACCAATTTGATCGCATTCATTATTATTCCTTCTTTGTTTATGGAAAGTGTTTGCTTTGGAATACCTTTATTGACTTGATGTGGAAAGAAAATGCCAATTGCCTTAATGTTTTCTTATCAGACAATAGGCCTTATTAAAGGCCTCTGGGGACATTGTGCTTCGTTCTGGATCTGTAAAAACTAGTTTGTGGTAGTTTGGTTTTCACTAGCTTGTATTTCCATTAAGGTGCAGCAATACCTAAGTGGGTGTCACGTCAATTGTTTATGATTTACCTATTTATAAAAAAGATCCCAACTGGATGAATTTAATCTCAGTGCAAATGGAGATGTCCTGTGGAGGCTCTGACGTTTGTAGTATACATTAGTAAATTAATGTCTTGATTAAAAAAAGAGGTGGTCCCCAGATAAATTAGGGATTACCATTTAAACTGGTTATAGAATAATATACCAAGCTCAAAGAGCATTGTTCCCCCTCTATTCTGATAGAGGAAGGTTTGTAACACAGCTTTAAATTTATGAAGCCCTAATAATCTCTACTACAAGTATAACAGGGTAGGGGAGAAAAACAAAATCAACCAAAGGAACTTCAGTAAATTTCTGATCTACACTGAAAATATTGTGTGTGGCAAAAAAAAAAAAAACAATAACTGTGCACATAGTGATAGAAGCATCATGCTTGGGGAAGGACTCGATTCTTCAATGACAAAATACTTGTCAGTTCTAATGGATGTATTGCTGTAAGTCCTGGATGTATTACTGTAAGCCCTACAGTTTGTTCTTTGTTTTTATTATTACTATTGTTATTATTTTTTGTCTTTGTTTTTTTCTTCTTCTTTTGGTCTCTGTAGCACTTTGAGATTTCTTTGAAATGTAAGGTGCGTTACAAATAAAATCTATTATTATTATTATTATTATTAATGAGAAAAGTGGACGAACAAAATGTTGAGCAAGTCAGGAAAACTAGCCATTAGCAGATGGGAAAATATTGACAATGGGAGCAAGGATTACCTCTCTGCAAGAGAGCAACCATTAATGTACAGTTAGAGCAGTAGAATGGTTTAGATCCAAGCATCGTTGTAGGTTACAATCACCCTGTCAAAACTAGATCTAAACCGTATTGAGTAGCTGTAGTATAGTTTGAAAACTCTTTCTGATTTACTCTTTCTTTTTAATCTGACGGGGCATATGTTTTCTGCAATAAACAAACTGAAATTTTATTTTATAGCTTTGAAAAAACGGCAATCAGTCTGGCTCTTTGTGCAAATGTATGCTGCTCTTTACAATTTATGCTTATAAAAATATTTAATCTTGAATCATTTTTAACAGTTCTGCGCCACTTGTCAATCCCTTCAGTATTAATTACCTACAGTCCCAGAATAATACACCCTCTTGTTTTCTGGTTTCCATTTCTCTGTCTAAATGTGCTCTCTTCCTTGAGGTACATGGGTTTCTGGCCATTTGCAGGGGACGCAGTGATAAGGAGTATTATTACCTGTTGTTAAATAAATAGATACATGGACTTGGCAACAGCGTTCAAAGTTCAGATACTTATCAGACTGACTGAAGCCCACACTGTTATGTAGGTATGTAGTTTTACTACATAACACTGTACAAGGAGTGAACAACTACACCTCTAAATACTTTTAATCCCTTACAGATTGAATCTATCTACAGTTAAAAAATATATTGTATACCAGTTTTAATGGCTATACAGTTAATTGAGCTCTGAATGCCTATGTAGCTTTCATAAATATCTCTAACCTGGTCTGAAGTACCTGGTTTATGAATGGAGGGGTAAATTGGAACACCCAACCACCAGGTGGCAATGTAATGGTTTTAATTATTGGTATGTGAGGAATATGTAGAAATAGGCATTGAATTTATACAGCTGTGTGGAGATTTCTAGCAAAAATCATGGTAATGTATTTTCTTTTGATTTGCTTTCCCTACCGAAATATAATTAGCTTGTTTTATGTTTTTCTCAAATAGTCAATAGTTGAGAGAAATCTGTAAGGAACTACTTCAGCAAATGTTATCTCTCCGTGTCAGTTTCCACTTCATGTTAACTGAAACCTTGTGACTTTCCTGTTTGTGTGGCTGACAATTAAGACATTTATCTCCTCATCTGAAACAGAATATAAGAAATCCTTCTTTCTCTGTTGACCATGTGGGGGTCAGGAACACATCATGTGATATTTCAAGCTGACTATGTGCTTTGTATTCTTAAGTGGGTATTTTAAGGTGGTTTTAATACTGTTTGTTCTGTGTATATATCTAGGGTCTTTTTGTTTTTTTAAACTTTTTTTGTTCTCCTACTCTTTCTGCAGTTTCCATCGTCCACCGTCTTTGGTTCTCAGACCAAATGTTGCCACGGGAAGAAAAAGATAAACCGAGACAAAACACTCCATGAATGAGTGGTGGACGAGGTTAAGAAACAGAGGTTTACCAAGAGGAACACCCTTTCTTTCATACTTGAGTAACAGATGTATGTCGCCGTTTGTTATGTTAACGTCATAAACTAAAACAAAGTGTAATAGAAATCTCTACTTTTCTTTCAATATGCCCATCTGAAGTTCTGCCCATGTCCCTACCTCTTTCACTTGTTTAAGTTTCCTTTATATTTTAAATCCTGGATGTATCTGTGCAGATTGATCCAGAAGTCTGCGGCTAGAAAGTTGCCATGTCGACCTCTTCGCTGCGGCGACAAGTAAAGAACATCGTCCACAACTATTCAGAGGCTGAAATCAAGGTTATACTCTTCTCTTCTCATTTTTTTTTTGTTATTGTGTATATTTTTTTTATCCTGCATATAATATAAATACAAAATTCATGGATCAGACATTTGAGTGAAGGTCGCTAAAGGTTTACCTCCTGTTGTTCTGTTTTTCAGGTTAGAGAGGCAACATCCAATGACCCATGGGGCCCCAGCAGCTCTCTCATGTCAGAGATAGCAGATCTGACCTACAATGTTGTGGCTTTCTCAGAAATCATGAGCATGGTTTGGAAACGACTGAACGACCATGGAAAGAACTGGAGACATGTGTACAAGGTATGTAGCTTTTGCTTAGTTTGAGCAATACTGTCCAGGTGGCTACGGTTCAGAAGTGTTTGAAATCAAGTCTCTCTGCCATTGGATATGCAAGGGTTAAACTAAATCCCTTGACTAGTGTCATATTGTCAGAGACTGACAGTATTCTGTCCACCTATCAATTGATTGTTGTGTGAGTTATGCCCGTAGCCCCTCGCAAACTGAGCTATATCATTACTCTATTGACCATCCTTAGAGATAGGCGCATTAATGGTGCGCTCTGTTTCAGTTGTATGGGCCTGTTGAAAAGTGAAAACACTAAAGACCAGAACACACCAGTTGCGTAGGACTTTAATCTCCCAATTCAATTTTTTTCCCATGTCACACAGAGGCTGCATTTTTTATATTTTATTTATTTATTTTTTTTTTTTTATTTTATTCTTACTTGCTTTGACTCTGTTTTATTTTCCTATATTTTAATCATGTAAAGCACTTTGCATTGTCTTTGTACTGAATTGTGCTATACAAATAAATTTGCCTTGCCTTGCCTTACAACAAGGCAGGGTGGGCAGATCTGCACAATTTTTTTTTTCACTTTGGTCTCTGTGCTACACAAATTAAAACAATTTCCCATGTTTGACTTGGACAGATTAAGAAAAGTCATAAAAAAAAATTAAAAAAACACACTGGTGCATTATATAAATGAAACCAAGTCTGTGCAGCATCTCATATCAGATTAGATAGAGAATGTTCATATGGCTATATTAAAATAGCCTGGGTGCCATTCCGAACTTAGTCCCGCCCACAACGTTTGAGGTCGGGAAGTTCGGTCTGGCATTGCTCAACAGTAGCGCGAGTATGCTAGCACAATATCTGGCGGGCCAATCAAATTGTCAGGGCGGGCTTTATACGATGATGGACAGATGATCAACAGTAACGTAATCAACCACGTGACCAAAGCGCGCTTGGGTGACAACAACAATGGCTGCCGCTGGAGAGTTGAGGTGTGTAGATTCTGCTATTAGGTCTGTTCTAGAAGATATCGACAGCAAATTAATTTTAAAAGAGGAACGGAGAAACGCGATCAAGGCTCATCTTCTTATTATAGGCGTGCAACTGCGCGCTTTGATTTTTGTTGACAACAACTATGCGTTGCTTAACATACGTCACGCACTCCGTTGCTCTTATTTGTTGTAGGTCTATCCAATTGAGTGCAGAGGCATTTTTTTTCCTGGTTCGTTCAAAACACGCCCCATAATCACAGCTCTATTGAGCAGTATCAGACTCATATTCTGACTAGAATTGAGTAGGACTACGTCAGGCTAATATTAAAACAGGGTTCCTGCGGATCCTTAAAGTCTTAAAAGGTATTGAATTCTTCAATATAAAACAAAGGTCTTAATTGGTATTAAAATGTCTTAAATCAGTATTTCATAGGCTTTGAAACTATTACTATATAAAACATCAAAATAATTGACAATAATTTTTTTTTTTACATGAACGGAATGGCTTTTTTTAACCATTATTAGTTTCATGCCAGTTGTGGAACCAATAAAAAGGATGTTGCGACCGGACCTTAGGGTGATGCGCCACTAACATTTTAACATTTTCTGCATGGCTAAAGCCGAGCATGTGATTTATTTATTTTTTTTTTCAATCGTTCTACGCAGCTGCAGCTCACACTGCTCAAACTGTAAGATGAAACCCTGCGGTTTCGTCTTACAGTGTGAGTTCACAGTTGAGTTCACAGTTCCGCAGTGAGATAGAGCTACTCTGACACGTCTATCCGAAAGCCAAGTAGTAAAGAGGAATATGAAGCTCATTAGAGTTAACCGTGGTGCCTTGGCAATTTGTGCGCTGAAAGACCTGAGAAGAAAATGCGGCGACGTATTTGGACAAAGACTTGGCTGAGCAAACGTGGCTACTACGGTCTGTCAATTTTACAGAAAGAACTCCATTTCACCCACACCCCGGCCATGCTTCAGTGTTTTCATCTGAGAGGAGGACGAAGAAGAATCCTGGTTTGCGCTTGCCCACTGAGCGATTTGCCCACGACGGTTGACTGAAAATCAAAAACGTTTGATTTGCTCCCGACTTCACGATTCCTGATCGGGAGGTGGTCGTGAGAGGCTGGTCGCCCCTCGTAACCCCTTGTACACTACACGACATATGATCAAGCTGAAAGTCGGCCCTTTCGGAAAATTCTCGCATGACTGGAAAGTAACCCCGAAAAGGGCAAAAAATCGCATTGTGTAAGCCCGTCTTAAACCAGCTCCAATGAATGTATATGAGGCACGGTGTATTTTGTGCAAGAAATGATTTAAGCTCAACACAACAGGAGTCAATGCAGTGAAGTCATACATGCAAAGCATGAAACAAAGCGTCAAAATCAAGTTACAGAGAAGCAGCAGTTATTTCTCCATTCTGTTCAACCCTTCTCTCTGCAATGCCTCACAGCCATCTCAGACATTATCAACAGCACGAGAGGCACCAGTTCCCTGGATAATGTTTGGTGGTACGCCTACAATAAGATGGTGATACAATGAGAGCAGGGGTATTGTGGACTTTTAGTAAGGAACAAAACAAAACAATTCAGATCAGTAGTTGTTAAAAATATATCTTTATTTGAGTGTTTTTACTTTTATTTCCATAAGAAAATTTTTTCGAAATTTGAAAAATTTCTACTGGGCCTGAAAGTAATGGTTTATGTTAAAATAAACATTTTGGGTAAATCTGTCACAACTACTTCACAGCAACAAACACAGCAGGAAGCCCCCCCCCCCTTGCGTAAAATCGGTTTGGATGTGATCATCCCCATTAACTTTCAATGAGCTCTAAACTCTACGACCTCGTTCGACTCAATTTTCTGTCGGCCTTGAACATATATATTATATCAGATTGGACCAAACTGCACCTAACTTGTGAGTGCAAAAGAGGCATTAATGTTAAAGGTGGTAATGATCTTGGATTGCACTTAGAGGTTCACCATTGAGATTTTTTTTTTTTTGGTTGACCTCTGATTGCCTCCTTTATTTGCATTGGTTTCACTTGTTTGTACTGATCTGATCTACTTTGGGTTTGTCACAGGAAGCTATATAAACAGCTCTCGAAATGTGTTTTTGTTTGTCCAAAGGATTAAATGAAACAACCTTGGTACAATCAGCTCTGTTTTCTTCCTTTTTGCCAAAGGTTTGGCTCGCTCCTGCTCTGTTAAAGCCTCAATCAACATCTCTTTGTTTTAAACACCTAATTGTATTATAGCATTTCATCTTTTCTCACCAAACATTACAGCTTTTTAGTCATGGGGTAGAATAGATTAAAATGCTCCTATTTGTCCCTCAGTGGGGGATTTCATTTGTGTGACTATATGGGAGAACAACAAAAGAGCATGCAGGTGCACATAAAAAAATAAGACATAAAAATGGAATGTAAAATAGACTGAATGTTGATTGATGTTAAATTCACAAGGTAAGAAAACTATGGTTATAAAGAACATGTAAATTTACCAAAATGTACAAGTTAATATCAAAATGTCAAAATTTGCATAGCATGCTTCTGTATATTTGTGCAAAAAAAAAAAAAAAAAAATACTTGAATTAAATTATATGGAAACCTGTGCAAAGCAGGACTGGATACTTTTAGGTTCATTGGGATCCTATAATATAATGTTTTGTTTCTTTAAAGGTATATTGAAGGATTTTCTACATTTTTTTTTTTTAAAAGACTCGCCCTCTCCACTTAAAAAAAAAAAAAATGTGCACATGCACAACCCTGTATCCGCTCCCGGGAAGGAAAGCCTATTAAACACTTGCAAGAGCATGCACAAGCCCATTTCTCCTCATGCACACTCTGTTTGCTCATACAGCTTACTTTCCAAAAGACCTTCAATTTTCCCACTATGTCAGACTCGCCACCAGTAAGTGAAAATGGGGACAAGCACATAGGGCGGCCTTACATAAACATATTACAAGGATGATTGACAATTAGGAGGACCACTTATTATGATGATCCACCCAAAAAAAGAACATCCTCCACCATACCTTTAAGAATTTAGAATATAGCTTTGGCAAAATATGATGGTACTTTCCACTGTCATACTTTTGGTGTTTTTTATTTATTGAAGATACCATTTGCCTTCACCTTTGAACATAAAGTTTATCAAATATGCTTTTTCCTCCTGATGTATCTTAATTTTGGCTTTCCACTTTTTTCTAACTTACCAAAGAGTGTTTAGAGATATGAGGTATTATCTGAGGATAAAGCAGCTGTTTTAGTTTCTACTCGTTCTCTTTCTGGAGAAAGTTCATCAGGTGATCTTAATGGCTTTTTTTTAATCATCTGTCAGGCTATGACTCTTATGGAGTATCTGATCAAGACGGGTTCAGAGCGTGTCGCCCAGCAGTGTCGAGAAAACATTTATGCAGTCCAGACCCTGAAGGATTTCCAGTACATAGACCGGGACGGCAAAGACCAGGTAACCAAACAAGACCGTGTTTTTTGTTTTGTTTTTCCAAACCTGAAAAGAAAGTTGACATGTTTGACCAATTTGATGTCCTTTTGTTGAATGTAGGCAAACATTGACTTGCCTATTGATTCATTAAAGGACAGTTTGCATTAAAGTGTTTCTGACCTCTTACACAACCTGATACAGCCAGTTGTTGGTAATAAATTATTTAGTGAAGTTAATGAGTTATTACACTAACAACACAGTTTACAGTGTCGCCAATGTACTAAGCAAAAGGTCTCTACCTGCCCACCGTTTATGTAGTTTGTTTTTTATTTACAATAGTAACAGACTAACACAGTTGATTGCATAACTAGGTATGCAATCAATAAATAATATAAATAATAATATAAATAGGTATAAGAAAGGACATCAGTGGTCCTCAAATTGTTTCACTTATATTCATGTACAATGGATTTGTAAATATGACAACTTCCCTCTGACAAAAACGTGGATTCAAGATTGGACCATTAAATTTGGATGAATGACAAATGCATATTTTAATTAATTTAATGTAACTTAATGAAAATCTGAAAAGTGTGATGCGTATTTTTTATTTCCCCTACGTTTATTTTGGACAGAACCTAGATGTTGGCATTTCACTAAATACTATACTCTGATCTGAACCATTAGGTGAATGTTTAGGGTGGTTATGCTGCTAAAATAAGAACCTGTGCCCCAGTCTTATAGTTTTAAAAGCATCTCACTGGTTTTCCTCCATGACTGCCTTGTTTGTAGCTCAAGACATGAACCCTTACAGTCTTCCTGTCCTAGGCAAGAAAAGTCTCAAAATGTTATTAATCTATGTTTTGTGCTTGCATGACTATTGTCCAATTTACCTGAAAAACACTGTGTAAAATTATTTAAAACCTGTCATATTTTTTTACTATTTTTTTGCGTCCAGGGTCTGAATGTAAGGGAGAAGGCTAAACAGCTGGTGACCTTGTTAAAAGATGAAGAAAAACTCAGAGAAGAGAGGATCCATGCCCTTAAAACCAAAGAGAAAATGGCACAGACCACCAGTGGTGAGATAACTGAGAACAGACGCAGATACGTCCGTCTCAGAAGAGGGGTTTGTTTTATTCATGCATAGCTGTCTGTGCTGCAGCCTCCTCAGCCCCCTCAGCACCCAGCCTAGGGGGCAGCATATCTATGGGCTCGCATTCTGGAGATCCTGACCAGGCATGGCCTCAAAGCACTGGAGAGGAAGACCTGCAGCTTCAGTTGGCGTTGGCCATGAGTAAAGAAGAGGCAGAGCAGGTAAATGAATGGATCCATCCTGGCCAGAAGGGGTACTTTATGTTGTGCTTTTTTTTTGGTTCCGCTCACATTTAAGGATGAGCAGTATTCACAGAGGAATATTAAGGATCTTATTTCCTTTAACAGTATACATAGCTTTGCTCTCACTATTTAACTGCTGACCTCCCTCAGACTAACGCGGACCCTCTGGAGGATGCAGAGCTTCGCTATGCTATCACTCTCAGCAAAGAGATGCAACAACAGGTCAGGGGGTAGAGAATGAGTGGAAGGCCAATCATCAACTATTTGTCTTTCTGTCATGAAAAATTTTGACTCAAAACTAAATACTGATTAATTGATGCTAATATGATTTTTGGCATTTTCCTGCCTGAATATTTTTCAATCAGACCATTATAATTCTAGTGAGGTGATTGAGTTTGCATTTTATTGCTGTTTCTTTTAAAATTCTTGGACTCACAGAACACATGAAGATACCTGATTTCAACCATCAAATGCATTTAGTGCTGTGTGATTGAACCTTAAATATTGTCCCTTTTATTGCTTTTTTTTGTTACACTTAAATGTTTCAAACCAATTTTAAATTAGACTCAAATAAATGGAAAATCCAGTTTCAAATTTATGTTAAAGATTAGCAATGGGAGAAGGCAAAAAAACACCATCCTGGCCCTATGAGGAAAAGTAAACGCCTCGAAAGCCAATAAAAGTTTTTGCCTCAGTATATGCAGCGAGATGGGCCTTTGTTATTTTGATCACCACTAGCTTTAACCTTAGAACTCAGTTTTTATTGTGCTGAATTCTGACCTTAACTTAAGCGATTTAGGCCTGCAGTGTTTTAGATGTTGTTCAGGGTTATTTTCAATACTCCTGAATGAGGAGACTGGTTACCCCCCCAGAAGATATCTGGGAGTTTTGTTTCTTACTGTTTTAAAATTCTAACAAGGATTGACAACTTACAGATTAACATGATTTGGTCTACTTCGTGTTGTTAGACAGATTCACTTAAAGTGACTTCCTGACCCTTCTAATGGACAGGCTTTATTCAGGCCTAGATGTAGCTCGTCCTATTGAAGTTAAAATGGTGATTTATCACTTAATTCATATTCCAAAAAAGAGAAGAGGCGTATATTTACACAAAATACCTGACTGGTGTGGATAGAATATTTTGCTCTTTAACTGTTTAAAATTGTGTCCTGTTTTTTCTCTTCGATGTTAAAATTAACTCGATCTGAAACATTTAAATGTGACAAACAAGAGGAAATCTCTGAAGGACAAACTTCTTTTCACAGCTCTGCATATCAAATATCGACTTTTAAATCATTGATCAACAGTGATCAAAGTAATATAACCTATGAGTGGGTTTTAAGTTGATTACTCTTTCTTCCCTCTTGCCCTCTGTGACAGCATGTATCTAACTGTTGGACTGATTTGAAACAAAGCTTCTGTCTCGCTACACTTTTTCTAGGTTGTTCATTTCTCTTTGAGTTTTTTTTTTTTGTGCAACAACAATGTCTGATCTCTTAGAGTGGGTAAAGTATAAATATACTCCAATGGATTTATAACAGCCTTACATTGCTTTTTGAGTTATTTACATTATTAAAGGTATTTCTTGGTTTCACTGATATTCAGCCAACCATGTAATACAGTGGCAGGAAAGATGGCATTTGGTAGAAATGTATCTAGATTGTTATTGAATGATTATAGTTGGTTACATTTTCAAGTTTCTCTTCTGTGAGCTGATAGCCTGAATCTTTTAGACTCTACTTTGTACAGTCAGTCCCTGACCAAGTGCAGCACAAGTATAATGATGGATGAAAAATATCCACTGTGAGATTAATAAAGTCTATCTTATCTTATAACTATACTGAAGTTGACATATTCTTATAAAACTAGCTATGTCTAAAATAGTCTGTAGATTACTTCTGCGTCTTAATCGGTTTTATGATTTTGATGCTCATCAGATGGAGGCACCATTGGGTTGTTTGCTTAGGATTTCTTTTCATAAGTTCAAATTTCTTTTTTTGATTGTAAACTGATCTGTTATTTGATCTGATTTGTTATTTCAGTTTCTAACATTAGCCTGTGATTGGCAGGAGGAGAGGCTTCGGAGAGGTGATGACCTGAGACTGCAGATGGCCATAGAGGAGAGCAAGAGGGAGAAACCAAAACCAGAAGAGGTCTGAGTTAACATGGCGATATGCTGCTAAGTATAGTTTTAACCAGAGTTGAATCAATTCATGATATTAACTGTGATTTATTCATTATAATTCATAGCATAGTTATTACCTTTAGTATTCCGAAGAGTGCGTTTATGTATGTCTCAAAGGTTTGTTAAAATCATCAATGAACAAACTGCTATATAAAGAGCAAGAAACACAACAGACAAATCAGGGATAACATTTTACAGGTATTTAGTGCTGGCTAACATTGTAAAACAATATCATGCACTTTTACACACATCAGTGGTCTGCTAGGTCTATTTTATCGGGAGGAAAGCACAACTAGAAACCAACAAACACATTCTAGGTAAGCTAAATTGAAAAGGGCGAAGGTTTTAATCTAAGAAGCGACCTAGAGGCCCATGATGACTCTGAAGAACTTCAGGAGATTCACAGCTCTTGTGGGAAAACACTTAGGCAGGTCTTAGCTATATAATTGTTTCATAACAACTAGAAGAAGTACAAAATCTGCTGTCAAATCAAAGGTCAGAAGTTGCCAAACGCTGTGTAGTTCATACATTTTTGATACCTTATACTTTTTAAAAATAATCATCATCAAATCTTGTTTAGCCTAAAGGGCCTTATTCCGAGTTGGTTCTTAGGTTGGACAAAACTACTGAGATAAATTTGTTAAAAGCAACATTTTCAGCATTAGCCTGAGCAACATGGTAATAATAATACCACAAATCTATTTTCTTTTTGTTGTTCAGGGTTCTCTAATGGAGCTGAGTGCAGTGGACCCCTGGGGAGCTCCAGCTAATGCCACTGTGAGCTCTGCTGGCCCTTCACCGCCTCTCACACTTTCCGGCCCCTCAGCCTCTGGTCCATGGGGTGCAGCTCCCACAGATCCATGGGGAGTAGCTTCACCCACATCCCCTACAAGCACTGACCCCTGGGGTGGAGGAGCCGCACCCTCTATAGCTCCACCTCCTGACCCCTGGGGGGAGTCGTCCCATAAAGTTAACAACGTCGACCCCTGGGGAAACTCAGGTAAGCTGCCGCAGCTCTAGTTTGTTGTCAGATCTGCTCAGTAGTTGAACAGATGGACGTCAAACAGAAGTCTGTTTCTTGCTGAAAGAGGATGTGAATACCCAAGACCTTTGCTTATTGTCATTCAAAACTCAATGACCTCTTTTCAAAACCGTGTGTATTGGCATCCAGTCATGTCATTATCTTGTTATCTATCTAAGGGTAAATTCAGCCACAGGAACCATTTCCAAGGACCAATGTCTTTATGTGGTGTCCTTCCCTCTGCCTCTTATTTAATCTGCGTGGGAACATCAAGTTAAACAGTCCGTTGAGGTGTAGTCGGTTTTAAGACTGTGTTGAAGCCTCAGGGTGGGACTTAGTGGTGGAGGGGTCCTAAACATTTCTAATTGGTTGAATTGTCTCAGCATTTGGTTTCTTACTTTTTGACAATATTGAAACGTGGTCTGCGCTATGTTTATTCCATGCCACAACTCACAAGGGGAAAATCGGGAAATAGCTGTGGGTCTAGATAGAAAATGGGGGCAAGTTTCTCTGACAACGGAGGGACATGAAGGTGGAAAAAGAGCGGGGATCTAGGTGAAAAAAGGGTCCGAGCGTTCTCGGGCACCTTGCACGAGTTGTTTTCCGCAATCGCAGTCATACAAACAAAACAAGCCGGTAAGGTACCAAACAGGAGATACGGGTAGAGTAGAGCGGATGTAGTGCTCCCTCTCCATGTTCTCACCCTGAATGGACCAAGCGTAGGAGAAAGATGTGTCTGCTAAAAAGAAAATTCATCAACAGCACGACTGTTCTCAATGACTGGCTGGTCACTGGTCTGGGCTATCACATAATAATCGGCTGATTTCCGAGCTCTGCGAGTTTACTGAAAAGTAAATGCTCCTTTTAGCAAAAAGATTCACTGATTTAATTTGATAGATTTATAGCAGTTGTCATTCATCTTACGCAGCTTTTATCCAGGTTTTTGTTATTTATCAAGACTTTCATGCAGTCATGGTCTATATAAATATAGCTCAGAATCATCAGCCTAAAAATTGATATAAGATAATAAAAATGTAGCCATATTAGAAGCTTCTTTGTTTTGCCGACTGAAGCTAACCTTTCTAAATGACTGTAGTTTGTTCCAATGCTGCTCTGTGCAGCATGTAGTCCCATGGTTATCTGGAGGACTAACTCTTCTAAGCTGAACGTTTGTCCAATTTACCCTGGATGTTAGGCCTGTGTTGAATTTTGATGTTCAAGGTATATTTGGTTGAACGGCCCCTACATGCTTTCATTTTGTGTGAAGGAAAGAAGGCATGCTAAATCCTTTCTCCGTCTGTGTCTAAACCAGGGATTTTTATCCTCTTGTTTCTGTTCAGGGCTGTTTGTCTCTCACATTGTCTCTTCTGTTGCCCTTTTCATTTTTTGGCTTTGTAAATATTTGAGGTTTCTTCCAGCCATCTCTCCCTCACCTCTACTGAGCTTCTATGGAGTTAAATCGTCATGATAAGCAGCAGCAAGAACAGCTGACCTCCTCTTCCTCATTCAGGAAGTTTGTTGGATCGGAGAGGTTAGGGAGAGAGCAGTGCTTCTGTTTGAACCCAGCTCAGCTTTCATCTCCCTCCATGCTGTGTTCTACCATCAAGGTGTTGCGTTAACCCTCCCCTCCCCTGCATCTCCTCTCCTCCCCTTCCCTGTAGCTGTGACCCCACCCAGTGCCGACCCCTGGGGCTCCCCTGTGCCACCCAGCACGTCCTCCTCCGGGGGACCGGTGGACCCCTGGGCAAGGGATGGGCCTGCCTCTGACCCTATCACCTCTGACATCTGGAGTGGCACCGCCAAACACACTAATGGCACAGGTACATTCACAACTAAACCTACATTCATCCAAAAACACTCAGGTACTGATTCCAGTTTTCCAGATTTTACATCACCCAACATTTGTCTCACATTTCATCAACTTTTGTGTGTAAGTCTCCAGCTTGCCTTGTTGTTATGTGTCCCATTCACACACTCCCCTCTTCACCTTCTCTCTCTCAGGGGATCCGGAGAGAAGAGGCTCTTCAACAACAGGATGCGACGGCACAGGCTCTCCGGTTCCCTTTGACTTGTCGTCACTCGGCTCTTCACTTCCTGTTCGTAAGACTCCAGAGTCCTTCCTCGGCCCCAACGCAGCGCTCGTCGATCTGGATTCCTTGGTGTCGTCTAAACCCAAACCGAAACAGCCGCCGCCTCCTTCCATCTCGTCGTCTTCATCAAACAACCCCTTTCTTCAGAACACAGGTGAGATATCATTTGCACTACAGGCACATCTAAAGAATGCTGTGAGGAAGTTCACTGCATCCAGCTCAGCTCTGCTGCAAATACACACCCATTGTAATCAGTAGTTAGTGGCCACTGTCCAGCAAAATTCAACGTTATTCTATTTTAGCCAGATACAGTTAATTTACAGAAATAAAACTGCACCAATATGAAAAGGGAATGATTACTAGATTTGTATTTTAAATGATTTGCTTAAGACAGACTACAGTTCATTAAAAACTTCACTATATTAACATTAAACATAACATCCATGAACATAGAGAACAACTAAGGTAAAGAAACGGGAGAAACCCAAAGAGTTTACATAAAATATAAAACCTACTGTTTGGATCATTTCAGAAGCTGAGGTTCTAAATGAGCAAAATAAGATAAATGACCTAAAGATATTCTTAGACATTAAGTAACAGGCAACTAGATAAAAAGTTTCTCAATGTGAATCCAGGATAATAATTGAGGACCAATCCCACCTTCCAGACAGACGTTCTAGTTCAGTCTAATGTCATGATCGCTGCTCAGATCATGACAGAGTGAAAGGTTTGCATCTGTGCTAAAAATGTCAGATTTCTGAGTTGCATATTGTCAAAAGGAAGCCCAATCAACAGGTTTTTAAAAATAAGAAACATCGCTATTTATGAATTCAGCATGTGTTCCTTATTAGTGATATCTTTGCATACCTTTTAGATTTAATGTAATTTTTGAGTAAAGAAAATATGCACTTTAGGTTTTAATGAATGTATTTATTAAATATAAGTTTTTAGGGCTTGTTTGTTTATTTTCTATCTTTAAGAGTTTTTTTCTATGAGTGAACTGTAGATAAAGATGAGATTTTATTATTGTAGGATAAAAAGTATTTTACTTCTTTTTTTGCCCAAGCAGACATATAAGAATATAAGAGAAGACTGTTTTATATCTGAAGTATACCCCTATTCTGTCAGCTCCTTCAATAATAATTAACTTTATATCTGTTAACTACATTAATTTTAAGAATTGAGAATTTCTTAGACTAAAAAGATTTAACCGACCCATGTTATTTTTTTGTTTTTGTCTAAGGCTCGTCTCCTGCACCTGGCATGGCAGTGACCCCAGGCAGCACTATTTCCAGCAGGGGAGTTTCACCAACACCAGTCTCTTCAAACCCCTTCGGTGTGGCCCCACCCATGACCTCCATCTCCCCCCAGCCCTCGTCTTTAGGCCTGAGCAGCCTGCGTACTAGTCCTGTGCCTCCCAATCCTATGCTGGGCATGGTCCAACCAGGAATGGGCCTGGGGCCAATGAGTGTAGGGATGGGGGCTCCTGGAATGGGGCTGGGCATGATGCAGGCCAGCCCGATGGGTATGCCCTTCAGCGGGCTCTCTCCAATGGGACCCCCGGTCCCTACTCTTCTGGGATCCGGAGCTATGCCACCCCCTCAGCAGATTTTGGGGGGGCCCACAGGAGCAGGGGGAATGATGGGAGCAGGAGGATCTATTGGAGGTGGAGGGACGACGGGAGCGAGCACCAACCCGTTCCTGCTTTGAGAAAGCGTCACCACTATTTTGCTCACCTTTCTGCCTCAGCTGTCGGACCTGCTTCCCCCTTTCATTCACCACCCTCCCCCACTCCTCAACACTTTGTGTCCAAAAAGAAAAATGTCTACCTTAAAAAGAACAAAAATCTAGATTAATTTTCCTTCAAACCTGTCATTTCATTTCAAATCAACTTTCCACTTTTTTGTTCTTTTCATTTCAAATGTTTGTTAAATTGATATATTTATTTTCAGTCTGCTTCTGTTCTGCATTTCCTGTTTCTGTCCAGTCCTGTGTAGAGATGGCGAGAGCAGCGTCACTCTCTACTCCTCATACTATTGCACACGAGGGGGGGGTTGAAGGAAGAGGCCACACAGCAACTAACGAACTGTACAGAAAAACTGTCGTACTCGGCCCTTCCTCTTCCCTCTGCTTCTAGAACGAAGACAAACACTGAATCACTGAATCAGAACAAGTGCATAAAGTATGATTTTCTCTTTTTTTTTTTTTTAAGGAACTCCCAGCCTGATTCACAGACTGAAAATCCTGCATTAACATTTCGGTCACAATGTGGTCAAACCGTTTCAACAAGTTCACTTTTAATTTAATGTCGAGTGTAATTTATTTTATTTTTTTCCAATAGCTGGGAACAAATAAACAAGGAAGCTCATGCAATGATACCATCTAAATCAGATGCTTATTTTTTTTTCCCCTACTGTTGTAGAAAACTTTTTAAAGAAAAAAAAAAAAGAAAGCTCTGACATTTGTTGGTCGTTTAGCAGGAACAAAAAAAAAACAAACTGTTGAATGTGTGCGTTTGCGGCTTTGTGCGAATGAGAACGCAGATGCGTATTTATCAGCGTGCAGACGCCTGGTTGTGTTTGTTTCAGTACTTAGTCCTTTTTCTCCTTGTGTCCGATCTCATTTCAGGGACTCGATGTAAAAAAAAAAAAAAAGAAACATTTCTTAAATTATCACCAGTGATGATATGTAAGGTTGGATTTTAAATGAGGTGTTTTATGGGTCATGTGATTTCTTTCTGCCAATCTTTCTTGTTGATCACCTATTTCATCTGAGATACCTGGAATTCAGGGGTCTCAAAGCAAACACTGTCCTCATGTTTCACACCCAATCTTATTTTTTTTCTTTGTAAAGAGATCAGCAGATGCTTCTTGAAAGAGACAATTATTTCATTGAGTGAAAGGAGACAACAGGGACATGAACACGTGCTCCATACTGCTCTTTTAATTTAGCTGAATGAATTTATTTTATATCAAGAGAAGTATCTTTTATTGGGTAAGTTTGACTTTTGTGTGGTGTCAACTGTGAACATTCACATTTGAAAAGAAAAATGGAGAGAAAAAAATCTAAAGAAATTTATGAAATAAAACGAAAACAAGGAATGTGTGCGACTCTTTCATGATTTATGTATATTGGAGAAAAAAGGTTTGGTAACTGCGTACATCTTGCCAGTTACCAACAATGATACGATATAGAACGAATATTACAGCCTTAAGATTTAAAAAGATAGGCATCAAACTCTTAAGATTCAGTCATTAGTGAGGAACCTGATCCCAGACACGCTGTCAGAGAAACAGGAAGTGAAGTTTTCTCTGAAATATTAGATTTTTTTTTTTTGTGTGCTCCGAACAAGGAAGCGGGTCTCAAAGTATGAGGGAATCCCAGTCGAAGTCGTCCTGGAACTCCTCACTGTTGCTGTGCAGATTCTTCAGCGGAGGACGCTGCCGTGGCGTTGCAGGCTGAGGCTGGATCCCTGCTCAGACAAAAAAAAAAAACATTAAGTTTTAGACCAAAGTGGAAGTGGGAGATATTTTGTAAAATATTTTCGGAGTAACTTCTCCTTTTGAATTGTATAAGCTGCCAGTTCGAAAAAAAAAAAAAAAAAAAACTACAAGCCAGATTTGAAATCTGAATGACTCAACTTAATTAAACACATGCTGATAAAGTCTATTTGATTCTGTTCAATAAATATTATTTACAGCTAATACAAAACTCATGCAGTTTATCACAAAAGTTTTCATAGAAATCTTTCATGAAAGAAACAACTTCATGCAAAATGTTATGGGGCTAATGGCTGTCGTACCCAACAAAGGCCTCTATAAAGAGGGTTGTTTAAGGATATGTAAAGGAAAGCTCTCTGTTTATATCTTTAAGCTTTGGTCTTCCCGTTTCTTTCTTGAGCAGAGATCACTCGCTTTTACAGAATGGTATTCTTACTCAGACCAGAGATTGCACGGATAGAATGGACCATCAGGCTTGCTGTCATCAGCAGCCCCAAATAACGCTTAAAGAAGCATTTTATACAAGTCCAGTATCACATCCTGCCACATCAAACATGTTTTTACACAAGGAGACGTCAACAGTTCCAACAATATCAAAATAATAGTGTTCTTAGATCAAGGACAATGCACCCATTCCATTCCCAAATCTATGCTACGTACATAATGATAACTTTATCTTGACGGAAAAAGCTGTCCTAATAAAATAAACTGCTTGGGAAAACAGTCTTCACACTTAATAGGCAGGTAATATTAAGGTTAAACAAGCACATACATGGATCATTATAAAAAAGTTAAGTCAGAAGGAAATCATATAAACAGCTGCACGCAGAAATAAAAGCATAGTTATCGTTTGTGCAACATTGGAGTTTGCATAGCTGGGTAAGAGATAATATCCTAAGTGTAGTGTGTCCATTCTTTGCATATTTATAACGATATTTGGCCGGTCACAAAGACTAACTTCCCTTAATTACTCAACCTTGTGTTTTTCCTTGAAGATGGAGAAACTATAGATTCCTGACAGCAGCTGGGACATAAAGAAATACTTTGCCAAAACACTGACTACATAGAAACATGTAAGAAAGAACTTATATTATAAATGGGGAAGATTTTTATGAAACAAAAATTTTATTCTATAAAAAAAAGAATGTAAAACATAAAAAGCTAAAGACATTTACCTTTATAATGTAAATAAGTCTATTAAAAATTAAGGTGTTAAAAATAAATGTTGTTTAAATGATTGAAATAAAGCAGTTTTATGCCAAAGGAGAACAATTTAGTGAGTGATTTACTGCAATTACACATTGAGGACAAAAGGTAATATAAAGCATTACGTTGCCCCTAAAGTCGATTGAAAATGTCTGTCACTCACCAGCTGCATTTGCAGGGTTCGTCAGATGTGGCCTCTGTTGGCCGGTTCCCTGCATAGGTGGGGGCCTCCGGGGCAGCTGTGTTCCATTGGTGGGAGGGAGAGCGGTAGGGTAGGGAAGGGGAGAGGGGTGAGTGAGGCTGGTGAGGGTGGGGGGTGGGTTGGATGTCAGCGGCGATGGCTGGAGGGAATGAGGTGCTCCGAGGGTAACTGGAGAGTTCTGTCCAGGGCTAATCATGCCTTTCTGGGAAAAAAATCGGTTCAGAGAATCGCAGAGGGACGTGAAGAGCCCTGGATCGAGGGCCCAGTCGCAGAGCTCGGCCTGCTTCATGCTTTCCAGCAGGTCTGAGAAAGAAAACAAAGGTACTTTTGTTAAACACATGCTGGTGGTGAAATTACTAAGGAAACAATCTTTAATAAAAACTAAAACATTTACACAAAATCTAAGAATTGGATTTACTGTTTATGAAAGAAAGATCCTAAAGGGATCCTTCATAAAGATAAAAAAAAATAAAAAAAAATCACATATCCAGCTAGATTTAAACAAAACCATTTACTTCCTCTTCGGCTTTCTATAAATAGGAAACATACCGGTATATGGGTGAAGAAGGTGACTAATACTCTGAAATGTGTAAATCCAATTTGAACTATTTTAGGCACTTTTGATGTAAATGATATGCAGAACAGATGGCATGATTTGTAAAATCATTCCAACCCACAACTAAACATTAATTATGAAGCCAAAGGTAAAGCAACACCATCCAATAGAATCAGATATTTGGAAAAATCAACTGAAATTACTGAGCTGCCAAGTAATTTCAAATCTTTGACATACATTGTAAATATTTCACACATCCATCATAATAATATGGAATAGTATAAAAAGTTTGTTTTATTTCAACCATTCCATCCAAAATGTATCCAGAAATTTGATCCAACTGAGAGGATTTCCATGTAGTGTACAGAATATTTCCAGAGCTGCATTGCATCAGTGAGAATTAATTTCAGTTTCTTTCATATCGTCCTGTAAATACAGCACAGATTCTCTAAGGATTTAGCTGAGGCCAGTCCAGCCCAGTGATGGAGCCTGACGCGTGACATGTGGACATGTTCCAAGTCTGTCTATTCAAATTAAATCAGAATCTTCATACAGACTGTATGTAAGTAGTTTTGTTCTAATATCTTGCTAAAAGCGCTATACTGACTCTGGAGTTGACAAAAAATGCAGAGGATCAACGCCAGCAGATCATATGGTTCCCTTAATCATCACAGACTGTGGAAACTTTACCGTAGACCTCAAGCTACACAGGTTGCCCTTCAACAGACCCCAGGGCTTTGATTTCCAAATAAAGTAAAAACAGTTCAGTTTCTTCTTTCTGTAGCCCAAATAAAACACCTCTGATTTTGTGGCTTTATGCAGGGAAAGAATCAGTTTGGTGCCTTCACAATCCGTTCTATAATTATTGTTGTTTGTCTAGCACTTTTTTTCCACTATTGTTTTTCCTTCCACCAACCTTTACATTAGTATACCTGTAGACTAATGTATACCTGGTATACTGTGGTGTTTTAGGAGCAAATACTAATTTAAAAATCTTCTTCATTATTTAACTTACCTGTGAAAGACGTTCAGGAGTGTCTCATGAACTAGTTTCCCTTTTTTTTTTAGGGTTTTTTAATAGGTGTAAGCTATTATCATCAAAATGAACAAAATGAAGATGATGCTGGGTGTGATTATTACTAATATGTAAAATATATATTTTAATTACGCTTTAATTTATGTGAGGGTGTTGTGTCTGTTGTTTATAATACATTTGATTTCAAATATCCAAAAACTTCTGTTATATGGAAGGGTTTTTGTAAATGTAGAATATTTGGTGAATTAACCCTTTTTTTTTTAAAAGCAGACAGATGAGCAGCACAGACCTGGGTGACTAGAGAGGTCTATGTTTGCCCAGTCTAGATTGGTGGCAATGCGGAAGCTCTCCTTCAGTGAATCTGGGTTACTGAACCAATCGGCCGGCACCGCTGCAAGGGGAGAAGCGAGGGAAGATTTAAAAAGGGAAGATACTTTCTGGTTTTGTCATGTTCATCAAGTAGAGCATTTCTGGGTCAAGATATTGGAGTGAGACTCACTGAGTTGTGAAATGCGCTCTGACTCTGCAGGGTGTGGAGCTTGCACAGCTGCTGCACCTGCTACAGTTGGTGGACCTGCGACAGGCGGTGCACCTGCAACAGGTGGTTGAGCAGCAACAGGTCGTGGACCTGCTGCAGGTGGTGCAGACAGTGCAGATGGGGGGTGAGGGGAGAACGGTGGCAGCGTTGGAGTGTGTAGAGGTGTAGTGTCATTACTTGGACCAAGAGGAAGAGCACCGTCCGCTTCAGGGAAAAGAAAACTAAATTATTCCTCAGAGACTCTCACAGGTTTTATGTTTGTGCAACAGGCCTGCAAACTTACAGATGGAGCCTCCCCTCTCGCGCATCGTCTTGAAGAGGGACTTAAATGAAGCATACAGATCTGGTATGTTCAAATCCTCAAAGGAGAAGCGCAGATGAGGATCAGTGGAGTGCCCTGAAGCAGCGGTAGGGGGGGCAACAGTTGTGCAGGAGGAGCTGGGACCAGACAATGTGGAAACGTTTGTCGAGTTGGAAGTGCAGGAAAAAGTGGAAACAGGTAGAGGATTTGAGCTGGCAGGAAAGGACATGGCAGTGCTGGAATAGGAGGGAGGAGCTGTAGCAGCTGCAGGAAGGGAAAAGGTGGAGCTAGGTGGGTGGGGAGGAGGAAAAGAGTTGATGGATGACATGGGGGCCGCTGGCGGGAGCTCAGCTGATTGGGAGACAGATAGATGAGAGGCAGGGAGAACAGAGACATGGGCTGACATGTAGGGTGACGGTTGCTGTGAAGACAAACATGAAACTTTTATGTAACACCTGCCGAACTTGGCTGTAATACGAGAAGAGGTAGCGTGAGCGTACCTTGTGTGGGGGAGGTGATGGGGGCTGCTGGATTGGTCCTACCGGAGAGGTATTAAACTGCAAGTCCTGATGGGAAGCAGGCTGGTGGCAGGGAGAGGGTCCGCTCACCATCGCTGTCTTTACAGGTGGAGGAACCTGTAAGAGCGCAGGATCAAATCATAGTCTCTAAGAAGAGGGAATCCCAGAGGAATGCAGCATTGCAACTTTATGCACAGAAAGAAAACGACAAACACAACAACAGTTGAGTTCAGTCGGTGTTCACCTCCTGCTACACCCACGCTCTGAATTCAGAGCACAAAGAGGTGACTAATCCCTAAAACCTGTTCACTAGCACATAGTCTTTCCCACAGAAGCAAGCACAGAAAATGATATGAAACTTCATGAAATGTTCCGGTAGTAAAGCATACTTAAAAAGGAGGAAAAGGCATTTGAATTAAATATATAGCTGTAGTTGTTTTATCATTTGGGATTAACTCATCCAAAAAACCCAAAACTATTTTCCCCCTTTTTATGGTTAAAATGAACCCATAGATTAGAGACATTTGGAGGATTATGAGAATTCCCCAAGTGTGTCACAGTGGGAGATCCCAGAAAAACCACATCAGGCTTTCTGATCAGATACCGGGTCCACTCAGGTCACACCTTTCAATGCACCAACAGCGACTTCACCCCGACCTTCTACCAGATGATGGAGCTCACCACCATCTCTCAGACTGAGCCCTGCCATCTCTGTCTCCTCTCACCCATTTGCATCCATGACCCATAGCTCATGCCCATACTGTAGGTGTGGCCAGAACAGACACAGACCAGTAAATTGAGAGCTTTGGTAACTTTGCAAACTGCAACAGCACCAGATTCCCTGCAGATGAATCCCCCAATCTGTAAACAGCTGCTACATCCAACCAGTACATGAAACACCGTGCTGGGTTAAGGCAGCTCTCCACTGAGCACTTAGTCATTGAGACTTTAAAAAATACAAAACAAAAAAATCTCTTGCCTAAAGTGAAAAACTGAATAAATCTTTCTTTAATTGGTTAGGCAAACCAACAAAACTAGAAATGGACAACTTTTAAATCAGCGATCAATGGGACTTCCCAAGGAAATCTGTGTGACTCTTTGAACAATCAGGTAAAAATAATTTGTTGAATATCTCTTCAAAAGTCCCTTTTCTTCATCTTTTGATTCCAACCAAATCTTTTAAAGTGGTCTTAATCCGAAGTTCTAGCATAAAATATGCTCCAGTGTTGTCTCCTCAAAATGTAGCAAAATAAAAAGAAAGCATATAACCCCTTCCTGTCCAACACAACATCTTTATTAATTCTTCATTTTTTCCTTTATCTGAATGCCTGTGCAGCTTCCCTACAGATAGACTGACTCAGATTGAGCTAAAACAGTAGAAACATGAAAAGACCTAATGAAGCACAGAGAGCAGAGAGAGAACACCTTAAATCATGACAAAAAAATTAAATAAAAAAACAGTATATATATAGGATGGTTTGTTTGTTTTTTTGTAAACAATATATAAACAATAGGTCTGCATAACTTGTGATTAAATATCTATTATTTTAACACTATTCCAGGTATTGGTTAAAGAAAAATACCTTATAGGTGTTTTGTGTGGGCCTCCAAAAAGTGTTAACTCATTTAATCAGTAGAGGAAGCTTTATATCACATTCCAATAAAAAACATACTTTACAAAAATCATCCCCCTGTAATTGACTTTGGCAAGAATTAATTAGAACCCTACATGCTTAAGCTCCTCTTCCTCCTCATCCTCAGGGTAGGGGCGCTTTGGTGCTCTAGTGGGACTCATAGATTCTGGAGGTCCATCCATTGTCCAATAGGAGCCCTATAATAAATACAGAAATTTGGTCTTTTTCTTCAGTTTTTTGGATAACATTTATTCTATCTGTATGATGCATTTTCAATCAAAAGCATTAGGCAACATCAAAGTGTAGAAGTAGCCCACCTTGCCAGGGTCGTTCTGTGGCCGAGGAACTTTCCTGAAGCATTTGTTCAGGGACAGATTGTGTCTGATGGAGTTCTGTTAAGATTAAAATCAGGTTATGTCTAATACAGTTATTACAAAGTTATACCTCAGTATGACGTTGTTGGTACAGCTTGCCTTCCATCCTCGGCCTGCCCTGCTGTAGTAAGGGAAAGTGTTGCTTATCCAGGTGTAGATGTCATTTAAGCTCAGCTTCCTCTCTGGTGCAGCTGCTATCGCCATGGCTATGAGGGTGGCGTAGCTGTGGGGGGGTTTTCCTTTACAGCTTGATGGAGAGGGGCTCGGCACTGACGGTACAAAGTCCCCCCTCTCCTTCCCTTTGTCTCTTTTTTTCTCCCCTCCTCTCTCTTTCCCAGAACGCAGGCTGCTGATTCCTAGATTGGGCAGCCAGTCAATGCTGGTGAGACTGGAGTTCAAGTCAGAAGACATCTTTTTCTTTGTCTTATTTCCTCCTCTGCCCAGGATCTGGAGAAGCAGAACATAAAGTAATGGATCAACATGCTCTATAAAGTCTTTTGCAAAGTGACTAGGCTCTGAGGAAATTCTCGTCGGCCGTAACAGACTTGAGTGCTCTGTTCATATACTTCCAGCCAGCTTCTCTTACAAAATAGTTTAGCTCATACTCAGCACACACTCTGCTGTTCCAGGAACTTTCCATCAACAAGCAAAGACATGGAAGAAAGACGCCAACATGCAAGTATGCCACCTCCAACCCTGCTTGTTTTGTTTAAAGGAAGCAGGCTGACTTTTCTCACCTTTCTGTGGTCAGTCGAGGCCCAGGGCCTTGAAAAGTTAAATATTTTATGCTGTCATCAGCTGTGCACGTCTGCTGTCAAACTTTCGCCTTCCCTCCACCTTCAGATCTCTCTCCTTAGCACGGTGTTGGCGCCCAGGCATCCGATCCCACCTTCAGTTTATCAAAGTTTTTTGTAACTTTATGGAAATATACACAAAAATACTAATCGGAGAGCTTCCTTTTTCTCTTTCTCTGTCCTTCCCCTCCCTTTCTGACTTCACCAGAAAGACGTCACTCCCTCCTCCCACGGTGTGAGCTCACTCTCTGCTCCCGCCTCTGGGAGAAAGTCCAACCTCCAAGGCCCTGTCAGGTTTGCATTGCAAAGAAACACGTGAATTTTCCACCACACTAAGTCAACATATCTCATCTCTATGTGTGTTGGGGGGGTTTGGGAGAACAAGGCGAACAGAAAACCACAGGAGTCAAGTTTATAGGTAAAAGTCGTGCTTTATTAGAGCCACTGTGGTGAGAGCGGAGGGCTTATACAGTGTAGCACAATGACAGGAGGCGATCTCTCTACAGAGCGCTGAAGAAGGAGAGGAGGCCGGTGTCAGGAGATGGCTGGGACAGGAGCTTCTGGATCTGTCAACAAAAATCAACATATGTTGGTTAAACAGTCAGATATTCAGCAGGGGGTCAAATCCAGTCCTTGGGGCCCGGGGTCCTGCAACTTCTGGAAGTCTACCTCCAGCAAACCTGAATCCAAGTGTGTGGGCAAGTTCTTCCTGCTCAGAAACTATTTCAAAACATGACAAGACTTAAGGACCAGGTCTACAGACACACCAAAAGTGATTATACTTTTAAAAGACACACTTATACGATTTAAATATTTAAAAAAAGCTTAGTAAAATCCAATAGTTTTAGGGGTTTACTTGTCAGAGGATGATAAAAAGATCAGGCCTTTGAACCTGGTTGTATAACAATCAAATAATCAACCTTGAGTGTAAACAACAACAAAAAACACCAGTTATATAATTTATTATAAACTGTAAAAAACCTTTTCTTTCCATATACATCAGTCACTTTTAGCAACAATTAATAGATGTACTTTTCTGTAGGATATGAATCAGTTTTTTAGCATCTTCTGGAATAATCTATTTCTGTTTAAATAACGTTGCGTTGCTTTAACCAGTTTTTAGCTGCCAGAGCAATGACCTGTCATTCGACTCTAGAATAAACCAGCCGCTCATGGTTGAACCCATAACTGCCCAGGTTGTGTTTGCAATACACTCCATGATCACGCCGCCGCCATACCTGCAGCTTTTTGCTAACATTCTGTTCAGATTTTTTCAAAAACACCAATTTGAAAAATGGCAAAAAATTACACTTTGGTCACACCTGCCAACAAAAGATGTGAGTTTTAATTGGTCTTCTTTAAGAGAGATGCTTTTTTCAAGTCATACTTGTTTCAGTTTTTTAAAATGTGCCGTCCTAAACTCTAACAACATACATGCTTAATAAGGCCTATAGGTCTGAAATAGACTCCTCAGAAGAAATCTTCCTGTTATTAATGTTTTCTACCCCAACTAAAGTTTTCCACAGTTAAATCGCATTATGGGCATTGAACTGAATTCAAATGTAACAACTGTTCTTACAGGTTGTCGCTGATGCCTTTCCATCTTGGCACTTTTTAACATACCTAATTTCTCCACATAACCAAATCCTGCCTTTTTAGGAGTTATCACACTTGTTCATCTCTTACCTAAGTGCATTTTCTTATAAATACCTAGGCTGAATGATTAATAGAATTTTTTTTTGTTTATGAAGATGACATTTTTGGAAAATGACTTTGTTTTTTCACCAATCCACCCTTTGAGCGTCTGTAGCTCAGAGTGACATCAGTTCATCACTTTTTTGATCATAGGCGTTTCCTCATAACTGATAAGCTAACTAACAGCTATGCAACCAGCTGCTAACTTTTAGTCTTGCTATATTTGTTGTGAAACATCATGATTTTACAACATTTAGCCCAGCTTGTATCCCGTCGTCCTTTAAATTAAGTTCACCTCCCTGAGAGGATTACTGAAATAAAAGTTGTTGTTTTTTTAAAGCACTATATTTCATTTGTATTTTTTTTAAATCATGAAACTAAAGGGGAGAGGAAACCAATTAATCAGATTTGATCGGGGGGAAAGAAAGCAAAAAATAAATATGGTAGATTAGATGTCTGAGCCATATAGCCCAGTCCGATTAGAAGATGGATGCTACTTACTACAATCCAATAAGAGTAAAAGCAGCTGGGGCCTCACCTGTGTCTTTTAAACTTGATTAATTTGAATATCTTTAGTTATGCAGTTTATCTTATATTTCTTTCATGACTTAACATTTAAACACCCTTAAAAGCCCTACACTCACCAATTTAAATTATTTTTAGAGATCCTGTAGTACAAACTTAACAAATCTACCCATTCTGGTGAAAATCAAAACTCACATTTTACTGTATTTTCCTTTAAATGGAAATCAAAACATTTGTTTAGGTCACTTTTTTTGGGCTTTGACATTTGATTTTCATTGGTGTGTTTTTTTTATTTTTATTTATTTTTTTATTTTTTTAACGGACTTCATACCAACTATCCCCATTCCTTTCATTTATAATTCCACACCCAGATATGTGGATTAAATGTGTAGAATATTGAGGATGTCATTTGTTTTTAAATGTGTTAGAGGAATGAATTATACATTGACAAAGCAACAGAGAGCAGAAGAAACCAGGACCTCCTTAAAGTTGGGGTGTTTGGCATCTTGAACGAGCTGCAGGAGGACGGCCTCTGTGGTGGTAAGGTAAGCTCCACTTTGCTTCAGTCGGGACAAAGCAAACAGCCGGTCTGTCTGGCTGAGAAGTGAAACATGAAAATTTTACAGTAAACTGTGAATATACAGACTATAACTGGAATAAAGTAAAATAGATGTATACCTTCTGGAGGACACGGCATCAGCCACAATGTGGACCTCTATTCCCTTCTCAAGAAGGTCATATGTTGTACACTGAGAAAAAAAGTAAGGATGGAAGAATTACTCATCTTTACTCTGACTAAAGTGAAAACAAGCCTAAAGTTTGCAGACCAAATTTGACATGAAAACAAAAATATGATTTACCGCAATGCAGGCATGTGCCTCTATCCCACACAGAATGGCTTGCTTAGGGCTCCCGAGGGCCTGCAACTCCTTCTGCACTTCCTCTATCATCATAGTGAATGAGGTTTTAGCATGAGCGGTCAGACCCTCGGCCCCAAGCTCCGGCACAGTGGGTCCCAAACCTTTAGGGTACTGCTCTGTCAAAATGGCCGGGATTCCCAGAATACGACCGGCCTGCAGACGCAGACTGAGTTTAGACACGACAAGTGACTACCACTTCACAGCTAAACTGCTAATAGATTAGGAACAACCTGAAGGACTCTGGCTGCGTTGCTGACAATGTTGGTGAACTGGAAGATGTTGGGTCTGAACTTTTCCTGCATGTCACACAGGAAGAGAACAGCATCCTTGGTGGAGAGCCTGCCGATGTTCGCCACTGCAATGAGCACATCAAGGTCCCACTGAGTCAATACTTTGTAAAAACACCTTTTCCCTCTACTACACTTATATCTTATTTAGGTCTGGAATGTGAATAGGCCATTTTACATCAATTTATGCTAAACGATCTAAAGCTAATCGACAGACTGCCTGATTAGTATCATGCAAGTTTGCACTAATTTACACAGTATGAATTAATCAAAAATGTATATACTGTTAAAAATATTCTACATTTTTCTTACATTTATATTAAAAATGTCCTCAAAATCTAAACTATTCCGTTGTAACTCATGCTGTGTGCGCCTAGAGGAGCACAAACATCCAGTTTCAAGTCTTTTACAGCTCGTAACACTTTTGTTTATAGAATTTACTATATTTTCTTCTATTAATTCCCGTCACTTATCCTGACCCTGCTAATGAGAAACAATCCTCCATGAGACTACAACCACCATACTTTCCAAAATTAGGGGGTTTCACAACCTTCTCCACACATACATACCTGAACTGCCTGCTTTGTTCCACAGTTTTTGTGTTATTTTGAAGAAATTCACGAATCTTTAAAAAAAAACAAAAAAAAAACACTCTTTTCTGGTTTGGGAGGATTTTGGTTTGCAAAATCAATTTCTAAAGGTCATATCAAATTGTCTAGTTTCGATATGGCAACAAGTGCAAATAATTAGGGATAATTTACAAATTGATTAATCTCTACATTCTTTTTTTTCGATTAATTGAATAATAAACAGACAAAGCTTCCTTAAAGAAGACTTTTTTTTTTAGAAATTAAACCAGGTGAAACTAAAACCTTTCCACTTGAGGAGTTCTGGTTAGAGCATAGTGACAGATCAAGAGTATTTTTTTTTTTTATCTTAAATGTAAAATGTTTATATATTTTTAGGTTTTGGTAGAATTGCTGCTCTAACTTGGTTGCTCTGTCAGCAAAGGCTGGTTTTAGAAGCTCCAGTTAAAGATGAATTGATTACTAAATTATTTAACAATTATTTCAGTAATCGATTAATGACAATTAATCCGATTAATCGTTAACGCCTAAAAATAATCAATACATTTTCAAGGTACTTTCTCTAACACATTCAGGTTTTGAAAGATATTACCACAAACATAAGAGGAACGCAAGGTCGAACTTCATAATCTGAACAAATTAACCATGAAATAACTGCACATTCTTGCTCTGGTAAAGTAAATGAATATAACTAGGTTTTCTCCGTGTCTGTGCAACCCCCCCACAAAAAAGAAACTAAAAACAGCTAGTTTGCAGAACTTGTTTATCAAAAGTAACGTAACTTACTGTTGTCCAGATGTGAGCAGGAGGAATGGGTGACAGGTTCAAGGGGACAATATGAACATCAACTACCAGGTTAAAGAGTTATTTCCCATGTGACGCGTCCTGAAGAGAAATGTTTACTTATTAGTTGCAAGTCAAAAATGGGGAAACGACTGGGTAAAAACAGCAGAAAACACTAACCGAACAATGGAAAAAGTTTTTTTTTTTTTTTACTAAAAACAAAGATAGTACATTAAGATAGTAAACTGGAAGCTCGGAATTATTTTGCCCGGAATAAGAGTCTGTATAAACCCCGCCTTCCAAAGAGCATTAGCCAATCAAATTGCGCGTTGCAGACATCTACGTCTTATTGCTCCAATAGCAGGACGGTTTGTTCTTAAGTCGGTTTCTAGCTTTAGTGAGTGAAAGGCAGTGAGCTTTTCAGCTAAAGATGTCTGACAATGCAGAGTCTCCAACAGAGACACAAAAAGAAGAGCTACAGTCACCGTCAGAGAGTTCCGCGACTAGTGAAGAGAAGAAAAAAAGTAAGAGAGCATCATATATTGCTGACTTGGTTTTGACATCTTGGGCTAATGCTAAAGGAAGTATCTTTGGGGTGGTTGTAAATCGACAGTGATTTCGACCAATAGGATGCACCGCTGCTGCTGTTTGGCCAATCGTCCTCTTTCAAAGAAGTCACGTGATATGAGTTCAGGAAGAATGCTAATGCTAAAAACTGAAAACGCAAAACAATCACTTTTATTTGTTGAAAAGTGTACTTTAAATCGTTTTTTTATAGGTTCATATATATATATATGAATATATATATATATATATATATATCTGAAGTGAATATTATGTTTCTGAAGTGAATATTATGTTTCTTCCTCTATTTACATGGTGAAAAGTGACACAATGATAACAAATGCTTCACAAGTCTGAATTTAAACATATGAGTTACATTTTTTTACAATATACATACAAAATACTAAAAATGTATAGGAAGTGGAGACAACGACAATACATGCACTTCACATTTTCTCAACAGATGGCTGCTGCACTGACTAATGATCTGTGCCTGTGCCAATACAAAAAAAGTACACTTAACAGCCAAAAATATCGGCTGTTCAATCTACTGGTCTGCCTTCAATTGATACCTTTTAAATACCTTTCAATTGTGCCTCAATTCATGTTTTGAGGCACAATTAGGTCATTTATGTTTTAGGTAATCAGTTATAGACCATATATTAAATTAACCCAAAAATATTTGTTCCCTCTGGATTTCAGGGGTTAACCTGAATAAAGTTACCTCAGATGCAACCTTGGAGTTTCCAAACTGAACTATTTTTCTGTAAACTTTTTTTTAAATAATCTTTAGTGAGCGGAGGAAGTTTTTTTTCTTATTGTTTTCCAAATTATCTGCTCCATCTAATCTCATTACCTTCCACTGAGAAGTTTTATTGTAAACATGCTGATCGTCAAATAAAAATAAACGCTCAGGCTCTTGGTTTATTCATTTATATTGCTGTTAGATGAGACTTCAGTCTACAGTTTGTTTCTTTTCACCTGTAGATATTAATAAGGGGTTTTGTAATTTATTGTATTTATTTTGCTGCATAAATACATCAAATAGTAGAAATTAAAATGATTCCAATTATTTAAATATTATGAGAATATTGGGATGAGTTGTTAAATTCTGATTGCTAGCCATGTGAATGATAAATATGCTTCTGTAAATATTTGTCTTCTTTACACCACTGTAAAGAAGTTGACTTTCATCCCAATAATAGAGAATGGGTGTCCACTTTTAAGTCTCTTGCCTAAGCATAGAGAAAATCACTGGCCACCAAGGACCTGTAACACATTCTTAATGTGTACCTGGTGAATGTGGAAAGATGGCAGCCAATGAATTTTCTGTAAGGCTGTAGAATTACACCAATTTACTGAAGGTATGCTCTTCAAAAGACAGCTTTCCACTTTTACAGGGACCTCTGGCATATATGTGGGGGAAAAGAAAGAACAACTTTTGATTTGATTATCTTATGCTCCACTAAAATCATGTAACTGAAGAGCTGTTTTGTGTTTTCTTTTATTTTTCCCTGAGTGCTATAAGTAAAACAAACAAAAAAAATCTTGAAATTTGAATTCTACAATTTATGATCACAGTATCTCTGGGAGGTAAAATCAATATGTCATAAAGGCCCCTTCTTTGTGAAATACAGAGAACATGACGTTAAAGGGTTTCTCTTTGCAAGTCAGTTAATGGCAGCAGAAAGAGGCTTGCATAAGCTTGTACATATCTAAAGGCAGAGCAATGCGGGGAACAAGTGTTTTAAAGAAGTGAAACTTTGACAGAGAGGTCCACAAACACTTCCAAAAACTTTGCAGCTTTATGCAACTTTAATAAAATATTGATTTATCTTCTTCTATGCATCTTGGTCAAACAACACACTCAAAAGATGTTGATGGTCTTATTTGTAATTTTTGAAAATGTTCTCCCTGGTTTCCTTAATTGAAAAAATGAGTAATAGGTGTCTAAGGCCACTTTGAAAATGAAGAAATATACCTTTTGATCGTTTCACCACATCCACTGGAGATGAAGTTGCACATCAATTGATGTTGCTTTAGAAAAGTCCTGCTTGTGTGTGAAGATTGTAAAGGCTTAAGCAGTGACTCTACTCCATAGTCCTAAACACGGCACACCAATGCTGGAGTCCTAGCTCGCTGCATGTCCTTCTCTTCTTTCTCTCAATCCCAATTCCTTTCTGCTTACTTAGAAAAAAGAAAATAAAAATAAAGGCCATTAGTGCCTAAAAACTCTTTATAGGAGCATTAAGCAATAGTTTTCTTATTTTGGATCGTAAGAACTCAAAAATGTAATTTTTTGATTCAGTTTTTCTGTCAGAAAAGCAGTTAATGGTCATAATGTTTATTGTGTGCATAAAAACAGAGGCGGTATATCTGTTGGTTCTAAAGTCATGATCTATGTGGTGTTGAAATTAAGTTATTCTCCTCTTTTTTCTTGTGATTTAATGAAATTTTCTTAGTGCTTTTCACAGGAAGATAGTGTGGTAATAGGAACTGTTTTAAATTTTAGTTTTTTCTTTTTCCCATTTTTTGCAGTTGATGTATTGCTGAAGGCTGTGGGAGACACTCCTATAATGAAAACAAAGAAGTGGGCAGTGGACAGAGGGAGGACAGTGCAGTCTCTGGCTCAGTTCATTTCTCGCTTCCTCAAACTCGATGCCAATGAACAACTGGTGAGGACACATTTTCAGCAATAGATTCGGAATATAAATGTTAACGAATTGACCACCTCTGTTTTGCGAAGTCCCGCCTTAGGGCCGTCTGCTTTATTTTTCAGTTTATTTATGTCCACCAGTCGTTTGCACCATCACCAGATCAAGAAGTGGGTGTCCTCTTTGATGTGAGTTTATGAACAATTAAACTTTATCTTTAATGTTTTTTGTTTTAAGTGGGGCCTTTTTTCTTTAACTCAGATTTTTTTATAGTTTTTATATAAATCAAACAAACATTTTACACTGTCAAATACTTAATTCTAGTTCTGAAGATCATTACAGCATCAAAAAATAATTTTACTCTTGATATTCTTCTTCTGTCATAGCGGTTTGGTTTTTGGGAGGAAACTACACAAACAATGACAAAACCATGTATTTGCAGCTTCAGATAGTGTAAATATTTACTTTCCTATAAGGAACTTCCAGCCCTCTAGTGTTAAAACATACAGGCACAATGCTACCTGCATTTCACTCCACTTGCATGATATGACCAGCAGAGGGCACATGAAGAGGCAACCCAAATAAACAAAAGCTTTAAATCCTTCGAGTCTGTGCTTCATTAGGTGACAGAAAACGCACAGGAAATGCTGATTGTTCCTTTTAGCTTCACATATTTTCTACTCATAAATTCTTTACATTTTCACCTGCCTGCCATTGTTGAATGTTAAAAATATCTTTTTCTCTCTCTTTCTCTCCCAGTGTTTCGGCAGCGATGGGAAGCTCGTTCTACATTACTGTAAATCTCAAGCCTGGGGTTAATTGACTTGTTTGATGTTTAATGAATTTCTTTTACAAAATGTCTTTTGTTTATATTCTTCTTCTTCTTCTGCCATTTGTTGTCTTTAATTTTGCGTGTACATTCACTGTAAATAAATGATTGTAAACGTCTGTGTTTTTTGTTACTTCCTGCAGAAATAAACGTTGATTCTTCTCATTCGGTTTGAGGCTGTCAGCGCAACATAAAACTATTTGCGTCCCATAGTTTTCCTCTGGTTTTGGTTTATTGTCACTGAAATATCTCAGGTCATTATACAAATTTTAACATGAGAAATCTTTTACTATATAAAATGCAAGAAGCTGTTTTTAAACTGGGATTCCATTTATCAGGGGCTCTTTGAAAAAAAAAAATATATATATTGCATATAAATCTAACTATATATTAACTTGCTGTGATAAATCATGAATTAAATTATGTATTTGTTTCTGTTTTTGGAAAACAGGGTTTAATTTTCTACTGTCAGATGTGCAGTTTGAAGGATCACCTAAAAAAAAAGTGCTTGACAACAGGAAATAGATTATAGACCCGTTTGTGCTCAAATACCCTCTGCTGTGGCTAAATTAAACCATGTTTTCACCAAGACAAAAAAAAACATTTATTGCATGTGCTTAATAGCTGTTGTTCCTGACAACTTTACATGACCAGGTATTAGTTTAGTTTAGGTTGCAGTTGCTCTTGGTAGTTTGTCTGCTATTGAAAATCATTTCATGTTCTTGAACTTAAACCAAAACACAAGATATCTATCAGGCGGGAAAATTTTGTTTTCACTTAACTGTAAATTAAAACTTTAATTTGTGAATCGGAAGCACCTCTGAGGTTGGACCGATTTGAAGAGAGGGGGCACCATAGCAACAGATGGACACGGAGGGATTATATAAGTCAGGAAGCGTATGTGACATAAATTCACAAGAAAGAGAGTAGATTGGCATGGAGGCAGATGCTCTGTCTCTCCTCCAGTTCACATCTCTGTCCACCCACTGGGCAGGAGGCTTAACAGGAGAGCACAGTGGAGCTGGGGAGGTAAGGATCACTGATGGTCCGAAGGAAAACAACTGAGGCTGTAAATGAAGAATGTGGCAGAGGCTGTTCACCGTGGAGGATTTAAGTTTAAATTCCTAAGGAGCTTTTTGATGAACTCTTTAATGGGAAGGATCAAAGAAGTGACGGATTAAGTTTTTTTCTTTTTTTTTATTCCACAATATTTTGTATAAAGTACTCAAAAAGATTTGGGGTAAGTATAAGTAAGACATCTTTCAAAATAACATGTCTTAATTATCTTTCAAAATGGTGGGGTATTTAAATATTGCATGCAAAAAAAAAAAAAATACAAGAGCAATGTGCCTACAATAAAACAAAAAAATTATCTATTAGTCTTCTCTTAGATACATAGCAAAGCTTAACTTTGCATGCAACGCTGCAGAGAATTTACTTGTAGCCATTAATTGCAAAGCAGAATTTTATGCAATTTTAAGACAAAATTGCAAAAATGTATTTTGTTTCAAGTTTGTTACTCTTACCTATTGCTCAAGTCTTTAAAAATAACAGGAACCCTTTTTTTGTTAAGTTTTAGCTGCTTCTTATCAATAAATCACAAAGTGAAGGTTAGCTTCTATAAATACATAACTTCTTGCCTGACAATTGTTCAGTCATTTGGCTTAGCATGTTGTTTTATTTCTAAAATGCCAAGCTCCAGTTAAACTTCTGCTTTCTCTTGCAGGCATGTTAATAACCCTTAAATCTTTGTAGCTTTTGTCATGTACCAGCCACAAACCTCTGCATATTTTATTGGGATGTTATGCAACAAACAAACACAAAGTTGTGCAATTATTGTTAAGAGGAAGAAAAAGGAAATCTTTGTTCAGTGTGCTTTAAATATTTTCGATTCCTTATTTGTTGAACTCCAGTTTTTATAGTAGAAATTAGATTAGATTAGATTAGATTAGATTAGATTAGATTAGATTAGATTAGATTAGATGAGCTTTATTGAGAAATTCACTTGTCACATATTGGCATAGAAGTCAAAGAAGGCGCAAACAAGGAGGAAAAAGGTGCATTAAGAATAAACAATAAACAATATATATACAGTATATCCAGGTATATACAGTATATCAAGATAAATAAGGATTAAGGTGCAAGTGTACATGTATCGCACACAATGAAAAACAAAATAGAAATTAGAAATAAAAAATCATTTATATTGTCTCTCTTCTAGCATTTGAACAGCTACAGAGCACAATTCTTAATACTCTGCAAAAATACATTGAGATTGGATCTAGCAGGAGTTTTTAAGTCGTCTTCCATGTGCTCAGGTGGATATAGGTGTACTCTTTGAATCCTTTGCCTTGTATTTATCTCCATCCATCTTCCCATCAACTCTGAGCAGCTTCCCAAGTGTAGTGCTTTGCAGGGTTCTCCTATGTGCTCCTGCCTCCCCTCGCTAGCTTTGGGGAAACTGAAGCAGGGACTTGTTTCATCTTTCTTCAAACAATTCTTCAATATTCCCACATTTCCATAGATGCAAGATTTGTGAGACATGATTCACATTGATGTCAGACAATTCTCTCAGCTGGGATGGTTTTCTCTGATGCTTCTTCTGTGCTGTCTGTTACAAAAAATCCAGCAAAACACCGGTGTTACATAAAAAGAATCAAATAAAAAGGAAACTTACAAAAAATATAGAAATATTGTGCTACTTATAGCATTTATTGATGCATTGTTTTATGTTACATGCTGGGACCCTGCTACAATAGAGCATTAATAAGTGCTTAAGTGTCTCATTGGACTGCTTTTTTACACAGCGTAACCAGATCATAGACGATTAACTGATGCTAAATGTAACTTTTCATATACTATTTTCTTCCCTTTCAGGAACTGTGGACTGACAGGGAGGCCCTGCTTGAGAGACAACATGGTTAAACTGTTAAGCACTCTTAAATAAAACTAACTGAGAGAATAAAGCTGATTTCTTAGGATTATAGGGCAAAGGGGGCATTTAAATCCGTGCCTCATCTATAGAGTCACTAAAACATCAACATTTGGTGTGGTTCTAAAAATCCAACTAGAGCCACCTAAGGATGCACAATGATATTAGCCAGGGCTGAGTCACTTTGCAAAAGCTTCTTATGAACCATTAAAGGAGTTGTTGTTGTTTTTGCTAAGATAGTGCCTGAAAGAGCATTCATCAAGGATAGATGTTGCCACAAGCCTACTTAGCTTGTGGAATGTATTACGTAATGTTAAATTCCCCTTTGCCTTTCTGATGTTGCCCAGTTACTGATCTAATACCACCTCAGACAGAAGTTAAGATTAGGGGATTTCTGGAGTTATCAGTTCCCCAAAACTCCAATGAAAAAAATTATATTTCTCTGTCTATGTGTCAGCCTCACAGCCTCTCGTTCTACTTGTGATTCTATTTAGTAAATCCCAGTCCCTCTCCTGGCTTAGTTTATTCTTCTGCTACATTAGATTTATCATTGCTTCCTGTTTAAAGCTGGGAGACTAACTCTTCAAAATCACACCAAAGCATCTGCCCCAATCTAAATGATTCTTCCGTCACTCCACTTATTCCCTGTCTCCTGCTTGCCTTAAACCCCTCTGTGTTGTATCCCACCACCCCTGCCTCCCTCCTCTGTCTCGTGGCCATGCTCGAGCGTCTGTCCCGCCGTTCTCGATCCGTTCTTTCCCTGACATTAACCTCTTTGGCTCTGACCCTCTCCATCCTGGCTCTCTGCACCTCATATTGGTGTGAGGGCACTCACAAGGTGGTCAAGCCTCTCTGCCTGTCGCCTGTCAAAATGAAGAACTGTGGTCAGAACAACAGTGAGCCTTACACAACAGGTATGCTGATTTCGTACATGCTTTTTTTATTTTTGTGTTGATCATTTCAGTGTGTGCTGCATTTTTTTATAGAGCTAGAAGATTTTATGGAGCTTTAATATGCTGCTTATAAAAAATAGTTCTGGTTCCTGTGTTTGCTTCTGAATGTTTCAACTTAATTTTCTTTCATACTAATGAAAAAGCTTGTGTTGGATTATTGGAACCTAGGAAGAAATGGGTCAATCAATTGTAAAATGATACCAAAATGGCATCCAATTCTTTATTTTGGAACAATTACCTCTGAGATAGCCGAATGACCTTCTCACATTACCAACCATAATTCTTGCTAGATGCTATGGACATTTTACCTAAATAGTGGTGGAAGTATATGTCGTCTGTGTATCTGAGAATAATTTAGACCCAATGTGCATTAGAGAATTTTTACAATGTATTTAAACTTGTTTTCTCCATTACCAAAATTATCATGGATTGTGAACGACTTCTTTGATGACGTATGTAAACATTTTGCAGCATTTGGAAAATGAAAAGTTTAAAGGTAAAATAATACCTTATATAAAGTAGTTTTTAATTATTCTTACAACTACTGATATGTAGTTTCATAAGAACTTCAACAACTATATTCAATATACAACCACTGGTAAATACCTGGAATTTGCTGCAAAATAACTTGAAACTTAGTAAATTGGTTC